TACATCTGCATAATAGACTGCCATGGAGCCATTATGATTATGATAATAAATTATGGAGAATCTTTAGTGAAATGATAAAATGCTTATGATAGACTGTAAACTTAAAAATATTTGGTGCATAAAACTATATATTCTATATGATATCTGTGGTTACCTATGCTTAAGTTTTGATTGGGGGGGGGGGGGAATGAAAGAAAAAAGAAGATTAAAAAAAAAACCCGAAGTATTAGTAGTGCTTGTGTGAGTTACTTAATTGAATTACTGAATGTATTCTTTTTTTTTTCTCTTTGTACTCCTCTACTATGAGTATATATACTTTTAAGTTAAGAGTACAAAATATAAGGTAGGAGACAAGAAAAAAGTTATGAGACAAATGTGAGGAGGTTGACATCTCTCAGATCAGTTCATTTCCCCCTGTACCTTGCCGAGAGATTATTGCATTTGGCCTTCATAAAAACTCTGTGAGATAGAACAGAAAGGGAATAAGTGATTCAACAAAGATTACATGGTTAATAAATTTAGCTAAGACTAGAAGCTGAGTCTTCTGATATCTAATCCAATATTCTTTTTCTGTGTTTTTTCTGTACTTTCTATAACTGGTACTTGATAAGTAATTATAAGCTTCTTTAGGGACAAGACTGTAATACTCATCTTTGTATTCCCTTTGGTGTCTAGCTTCATGTGCCTTCACTATAATAGATATTCAATAGATATTTTTAATTGAATCTTAATTGGCCAAGATTATTAAAGATACAAAAGTGAAATCGATTTTTATAAAAGAAAACTGAGGCTGTGATAATAGTCTTTAAGGGCTCACTTCCTTTCCACCATTATCTCTATTTTGTCCTTCCTAACTTCCTTTCTCCTGTAATTGATTCATAACATCTCTGATCCTTTTTATTGCCCTATCTTTTCTTGGGCTACATAAAGGAAAACTCTAGCACTTCTGACATTTTCAATATCCAGGAAATTCTATAACACATGAGTTTATTCTGATATACAATGATTAAGAATTGGAAAAAATGTTTGTGAGCCAATGGCATCTTGAGCCTTAGAGGGAAGTATTTTTATAGATTCTAAATTACTTCATATTAAAAATACATGTAATTTAAGTTAAGATTGCTGTACTTACACTAATGCTGTATCTGCTAAGTTTCTAAAAAGCTGACTCTCCAGTGTTATCACCAATGCTAGTCATAATAAACTGAAGGTTTTTTTTTTTTAAATATATTTTA